ATCCTCTTCAGCAGCCAACACTCAGATAAGCAGGGATTAACACCAGACAAGCAATAGAGCAGAAAACAATATCCTAATCAAGAAACTACCAAGGAGACAAAAAACCAAGCAGTCAAACAATCAAGCAGAAAACTATACCCCCTAATCAAAGAACTACCAAGGAGAAAATCACACCCCCACCAACACTGGCAGGGCAGGCTACTGTATATAAATAAGGAGCAAACACCGCACTCCCTAGCACTGATGATATTACCTAGTTGAGTAATGAAATGTCTACAAGCAAACAACCAAGCTTAGAGAGCATCAAGGACGCCACAGTTTTTGGATTGTAATTGGTACTTGGATGGTATACTGGAGAACCATGCTTCTTCTTCCTGTTTATATATATATAATTTTTATTAAGGATTTTGATTCCAATAGTAAAAACTAATACGACCTAAACTTAAAGAAAGGAAAGAGAATGGAAAGAATAACAAGGGCAAGAAAAAAAAGAAGAAAGAAAAAAGAAAGAATATAATAAAGAAAAAGAAAAGAAATTTATAAAGAAGTGATTTCAACCTTCGTTACAAGTATAAACAAATTTAGTAACTCCTCACCCCTATCAGGTTACAAACAGATATCTCTTCATCCCATATCCCATTCCTTATTTACAGGCAAATCCATAAAACATCAACTTTTCAATCCTAGTGTCAGCAAAATGTCCATAAAGTGTTGCCAGGACATTCCCCCCGCCCCCGCAAAAAAAGTCTTATTTTAACCTTGATCAAATAAACCAACTTTAAGATTGTTAGAAGTAAAAGGAAAGAATATAAATTGAATTTTTAATTCAATCCAATACTAACATAGGGTTTGATTTCTCTTCAGATCTTCTTTATCCCATCACACAGATTTCTTCAAGGCTTTAACAAGCCTCTTTTGTAGATCCAGTTTAAAAAAAAAACATTTTCCACGTCATTCTCTTGGTTTATCATTTATATTTCCCTCTTAATTTTTAAAACTTCAGCCAGTTTCTTATTTATATTCAGTAAGACGTCCTTTTCCAAATCATTCTCTTGGCCTGTCATTTGTAGTTCCACATTCTGTACTTTATCTATCTTATCAGATAAAATTTGTTCCACCTCTGTCATTCCCTCATTAACATCTTTTGGACATAGTCTGTCCATAGAGTCAGGCATCATTACTGACAATGTTGATATTGTAGCTACTAATTTCTGGCTCCATTCTTCAAAGATCTCCATAAGATTTCCAATGTTATGATGTTTTGTCATTTTGTAAGTCCCTGTACTAACCAACACCAAAAGCAGGCTTGTATTTTTTTCCCTGCTACTTAGAATTTTTCATCCCCTCTAGTGTCCAGTTTCTAAAATTATAAAGTTGCTTATCTTTGTTATGACATACACTAACCTAAGTTAGCCAAAATAAATCTGGTTCCCATTAGAAGCTATTTATTTTTATAGTTAATTCCAAAATCTTATAGTAAAAGTCAATATTCCAAATTTAACCGGACCCTTAATCCAATTTTTATAGTTAATTCCAAAATCTTATAGTAAAAGTCAATATTCCAAATTTAACCGGACCCTTAATCCATTTACAAATTTCTTAGATCAAAATCTTATTAGTTTTTGCTGTTTAGTTTAAACTGTTTAAGTTCTTAAGCTTATAGTTAATTTTTCTTTTGTTCAGAGTTTGTAATTTTATCATTAGATGCTGAAAAAGCCTTTGACAAAATACATAAACAGTACATGTTTGCCCTACTAAATAGATTCGGATTTCCTTTGGAATTCATAAAATGGATCAAGATATTATATGAGTCGCCCACATCTAAAGTAAAAGTTAATTGTACTGTATTCTTTGTGCTACTTTCCCATTATTTAGAGGAACCAGACAAGGATGTCCACTTTCACCCTTGTTTTTTGATATTTGCGTGGAACCCTTGGCTCATGTTATTAGAGAACATGGGGAGATTTATGGAGCAGTATAGAATTCAGTTGAACATAAATTGGTTTTATTTGTAGATGACATTATTCTGTTCATTTCTAAACCTCACACTACTATTCTAGTGTTGATGCAAATGTTAGATGCCTTTAGTAAAATAGCACAATATTCTATTCACTGGTCCAAATTGGAGTTGATACCAATAGGTGAACATTTGGTTACCCATCCATTTAAGGAACATCAGTTCTGTGTTTGTACTGAATCCATTAAATATGTGGTATTTTGGTATGTGGATACCAAAAGATATAACTCAGTTAGTAACATGTATTATAAATACAATATATAAAGAGGTTTCTTCAGATATGGAAAGATGGGAGTCATTTGGGGAAAGGTGAATGCTCTCAAATGAATATTATTCCCAGATTAATTTATATTCTGAGAGGAATTCCTATTCAAATATCTGGAAAAAATTTTTAGAAAATAAATTGTTTAGAACATTTTTATGGGGTTCTGTCAGGCCCAGCCCAAGAACAACGATGAGGCAGTGCAGTCCAGTATAGTTCCTTTATTTGCTTACACCCTAAAGACAGAATCTCACCAGACTAAATCTATGCTAAAGCAACTAGTGGATATACCTGTGATGGAATGGACTTATGAAGGCCAGGCTCAGAGAGATAAGCATGTTCTTAGCCCCCAA